TAACTGTCTTATAATTACTTTCGACACTCAGTTGAAGACCACTCTTCTGAGACCTTCAAATCAGAATGTTGTGGTACTTGACATTTTCATTCCTGGTGTGAAATAATTCCTGCAGTACTCAATGACAATCTGTTCAGCCATATGCTTTGTTGTGTTTTACAGTACCATGTTTACAGCATCCACAGACAAGACACTGGGTATCTGGGATTATGAAACAGGAACAAGAATCAAAAAGTTAAAAGGCCACAGTTCATTCGTAAACAGTTGTTTTCCTTCAAGAAGAGGTCCACAGTACATTGTGAGTGGAGCTGATGACTGTACTGTAAAGGTGGGTGGCATCTGAGAAACAAATTGCTAACAACTGTGAAATATTATTGTAGAACTACATAAATCACAGTCGCAGAGCATGAATTCTAAAGAATGTCCGGCAAAATACAGTAGAACCCTGTTAATCTGGCCGTGTTAATAGGGTGGTCATATCGAAGGGGTTGAACCTTGTTAATCTGGCCATATTGAACCCTGTTAATCTGGCCATATTCACAGGGTGGCCGTATTGAAGGGGTTCTTTACGGCTGGACCTCACCATAGAGGTAAATTATCATTTTCTCGCAAACAGGTATGGTGACCTATCATTTTTTTTCTGTAGTTTTGAATTGAGTAATAAATTTCTCTGTGTGAAATAAATATGGACCAATTCTCACAGCAGAACAAAAAACAATCATCGGAAACAAGAATTTAGCAAGCAATCGTGACTGCAATCATGGTGCTATTATGAGGATTTATTGGGTTTAAACAAGGTGCTGTTGCTCCTAAACGAACATGGGGACCAGTCATTTTTAAGTCAAAATTTAAGTTCCTATAATATAAACAATCAATAGGCAAAGTTTCACAAAAATCTCAGTGCAGGTTCTATTTCAGTGGAGTGACTGTAAAATAAGAAAAGAACTGACTGAGCTTTTGCTGGGCCAAAATACAGTGGGCGTAAAAATGCGGTGGTCGTGGTAATGGGGTGGTTGTATGGTGAAGTTCCACTGACTCGTGTGTATAAACTTAATTACTGGTCCAAGGGCAACAGTAAGGTTTGTTTTCCTAAGAAACTTAATGTTTCTCAATTCCCTTTTTTAACTGTCATCTGCCAGGTGACATTTGGATTTCAATTGGCCATTCCCATATATCCATTGGTAAATAAACCAATATGAGTGCATGCTAGATTTGACAAAACGTTTTTTCCAACTGAACAATCTTTAGACTTTTTAAAATGGCCCCTTAAATGCTATCTTTTTTGTGTCAAACCAAGGGTCACACATTACAATGAAATCTTCAATTTGTGCTCTTGTTTGCAGTTGTGGGATACAAGAAAAAGAGGGTGTGCACAAACATTCCAAAACATTTATCAAGTGAGTGACCTGCCTTTAGTTAGTTTCTGGTTACATCAGTGTGCCACAACCAATGATGCATATATATACACATAACTAAATTATGTATCAGTCTTGGTCTGATGTGTTATAAGTTGATATTGAATTTAAACAAGGAAAATTTCTCTAAAGGATTTGATAAGAAGGATGCTTTCCATGTTGTGATCTATACAATATTATACTATGATAATTATGCAGCTGTTAGTTTTGTTAAAAAGTTAATCATGACTTTCTTTTTCTGTTTGTTCATTTGTGGCCATCTACAGGTAACTGCGGTTTCATTTAATGACACTAGTGATCAAGTTCTTTCTGGTGGAATAGACAATGAAATAAAGGTAAGTGACTCATAATTTGACATTCAGGAGAACAACTGCAACAACAAACTTAGAATTGTACAGTAACTAGTCTGTTCCAAATATCCCAAGGTTCAGATAGAAAAAAAATATTAATCAAAGCTGTCCAGCTCTGTGAATTAGGAAATGGGATGTAGTTCAGCTTTTAAAAGGAGCTCAGTATTTGGAGTTATTTTGGCCAGATACAAAATTATCGGTACCTTAAATTGAAGAAAACCTGAAAATAGTGTAGTTTACCAACTAAAGATAGTATATAACACTAATTAAGGTCATTCCACTGAAATAGAACCTGCACTGAGATTTTTGTGAAACTTTGCCTATTGATTGTTTATATTACAGGAACTTAAATTTTGAAATAAAAATGAGGGGTCCCCATGTTCGTTTAGGAGCAACAGCACCTTGTTTATACCCATATTAATAAATGTAATGTAGATGTAGATATTAATCCTTATAATAGCACCATAATTGTAGTCACGATTGCTTGCTAAATTCACGTTTCCGACAATTGCTTTTTGTTCTACACTGAGAATTGGTCCATATTTATTTTACAGAGAGAAATTTATTACTCGATTCAAAACAACTGAAAAAAATGATAGGTCACCATACTCATTTGCGAGAAAATGACGATTTACCTCTATGGCAAGGTCCAGCTGTAAACAAAAAGCCGCCATTTTTTAATGCGCACACGCTAATCACGCGTGAAATTATGCGCAGTAAGGATGCGCAATGCAATACTGGGGAATGACCTTAAAAGAGAGAATATTAAACCATAAAGTAACAAGGATGGTTATGGATGGAGAAGATTAACATGGATTACAAATAAAAATTTGACAATTTTAGGCTAAATTTTTCAATATGCACAATCTGTGACGTACATATAACTCCTTTAAGTCAAATCAGTGTGCTCACATAAACATACATGTAGCAAACAGAAAGGTCTGTCTAGTAATGAAGCTTGATTTCAGTGATTATCTTGTATTGGTTGTCTATAGACACGTGCACACCATAATGATTACACTTGGTATTCTTTGATTTTAAATCATTTCAACTTGTTACCAGGTATGGGATCTTAGGAAAAATGATGTGTTATACAAGATGTCTGGTCACACCGACACTGTCACTGGTCTTCGACTAAGTCCTGATGGTTCTTTTATTCTCTCCAATGCTATGGATAACACTGGTTGGTAACTTGCAGTGGATGCCAATAATGAAAACTGGCCTACATGTAGTATACAGTTTCACATACTTCATGCTTTGTTCATGAAGTATGTGATGATATATGTTTGTTTCACCACTTCCCTTTTATTCTTGGTCATCATGCAGTGGGCATGTTGAATGACTTTGACAAAAGATAAGTAATTGTAAGCAATAGAGATGTTAATTTATAAAAAGAATCTTGGGTTTTTTGTTGTTCTATTCAGTTCGCATGTGGGACATTCGTCCATTTGCTCCTCTGGAAAGATGTTTGAAAGTCTTCACTGGGGCTCAGCATAACTTTGAAAAGGTACTTAAACATTAATTAATGTAAACCTATTATTTGACAAAATTACTGATTAGAAATGTTCTGTATGTATTAANTAATAAGAATACACAAGAAGACCTGCCAACAGAGGCTAATAAACTGTTATGGCTTGAATCATAACCAGCCAAGTTTTACTGAAATCCTTTTTTCTGTTGCAGTAATGTCTTGTGGAAGTGACAAGAAAATATACCTTGGAGAGTTACAAGCATGATTTGGAAACTAGCTATTAATAGTCCCGCACCGAAGAATGTGGTGGACAGAATCTCATAGACTGTACACATTTGTTGAAAATGTGGTTCCTACTGCTTTCATACAATTTTTGTTTTCATCTCCTAAGCCCAGAGCTTAAGATGCGAATTCTCCTAACTATTTTTATATATTTGCCTTGCTTATAGTTGTGTGAGTTTGACTGTGTATCATGGCAAAAAATATTAAATTTGTAGATGGGTTGCTTTATTTGCAACACCCATTTACTGGACTCCCCTTTGATGTCTTGAGAAGGTAGTTGCTGATCACAATCAAAATAACAGACTGATAACAACCTCACTACAGACTAAGAGAAAGAAACTCATTCTTTGTACTTGTAAACAAGTTTTATTTAAAACAGTTACCATATGAGCCTTGTTGATGCAACAAGCTTTGTTTTTACATGGCATGTGAATGTAAATAAAGTAAACTACATGTTTTGATTAATTGAATGCCCTTTTATTGAGCAATGTAGCCAAGTGAATGTATGAATAATTTTAGCTCTGGAAAAAAACTTCACAACCATACAGTGTATACTTAGTTACCGGTAACTTAATGTTCGCATTATTTTGACTTCTACATACATGTAACTGTCCTTATTGAATGATACAGAGATTGGTCTGTGACTACAGGTAGCCTTGTTTTAATATTGAATGGTTATCCCATACTGACTCTTTGGTTTGTTTTTACAATCTCTGTTGTATACTTGTCACAAGCTGATGTTCAGTGCTTAGTGGATGGCAGTGCATGCATACATCCTACCAACATATGGAAAAAATAAAAATTAGAAAGGACTTTAACAAAATCCAAAATAAAGGTATCTTCTGCCTGCAGAAAAATATTGCAAAGTATTTTTTAATCACTTTGTTCATGACCTTGGATAAAAAATAACAATAATAAACATAATAAAAAATGAAAAACCTCCCAATTAATTGCATTATGATAGCCTCTATGTGAAGGTACTGTAAGTTACGTCTGAATACAAGACAAGTGGCCCATCACACCAGTGCAAATCTCTGGTTTCTATAGCATGAAGCCACTAGGATGCAAATATGGATGTGATGCTGGTACCCACAAATTTGTACATCTGGGTGGAGAGGGGTACTGTGAGAGTAAAGTGTCTTGCCCATGAACACAACACAATGTTCACAGCAAGGACTCAAACCTGCACAGCTCCATCCGGAGGTGAGCACTCTAACCATGAAGGCAATGTGCCTACCACAGCCTGTATGAGTCCTAATATCAAAGGAAAATCTGGATAATGACTGTTTTTCTATGCGCTCATTCATTTACAAATATATTTTTAGAGTACACTATTACTGCACTGTCCTGCAAATACTTCTGGTTTACTTGGTATTGACTGGTTGTTGCTAATACTATAAGGGTTTAGCAATACATCAAGGACTAAAAAAACTAAAAATGATACATTAAAATGTCCTACAAAAATATTAAATATTTCCACAGTAAAAATCGAAAAAGACCTAATTTCTAATTTCCTAATTTTGAGAATTTTGTTTTAAAATTATCATCTACAGCAATTTTTCCTCCCATGACTTAGAAGTATACTTTGAGTATGCTATGGTAATAACAAATAATAAATTTAAATAATTTATAATAAATGCCAGCCTATCTAATAATTACATGCAGCCAACACTCAATCTGTCAAGTATGCAAGGGACAGAAGAAACTACATAAAATGCCTGTTGTCTTGAAACTGAACATGTTATGAGCATGTTGATTTGTCACCACAAGCCACATGGTACCAGTAATAAATCTGTTTGGATTTGAACCAACTGTAAGAGTTATCAAACACCAAACAATATTCTCCTGCATCTGCTGCCAGCACCTGAGGAGAATTTAACCAAAAAAAATCAACACCGTCAGGAGAGTCTTCACCTCCCATGGGAAAACATAAAGTTATGGACAAATATCAACTAGGCAAAAACAAGAAACATTTTTGATTGTATAACTACTGTAAACAGTGAGAGTAAGGCTACTTTGGCCCACTTTGGTCCCCTTAAATAATCATAATTATATGTTACATGTATATTCATTAAATGGAGTTCAGAATTAATGAATACTGGGGAATTTTTATTTCTGCATTCAAGAGTAAAACTACACAAGCAACTCGGTTCAAAAATAACTTCCAGTATTACAGTCTTGTAAAAATTACTCCATGTCTTCATTGAGTGTGAACTGGTACACATGGAATTTCACCTGCTATGTTATGAGAATCAAGGTCTACATGAAAGTGTATCAGTACCCACCATTCCGTTTACTGGTGTAACATGGGCGCTATATCTTTTACTTTTGCTCCACTCACTTTCTGTTGGTAAGCCTGACACATAACAGCTGAAACAAATTTTTAACACAATATGCCAAAATGTTAATACAATTATAATACAAACTTAATCATCTACGGGCCAGACATGAGTGTAAAACTTCTCAAAGTATCAATGTCAGTTACTTAGCCAACCCTCTGGCCCACGCTACAGTGTGTACATACCGGCAGGTCAGTATTAATAATTTCAAATAGTACATGTATTTCCAGTCATTTACCTCCCTGTTCATCCACAAACAACATTACTAAAAAAAAAAATAATAAAATTTAACCATAAACAACAAGATTTTGTGATGGCCCCAACCACTTCTAGACATTTTATATTTGTAACAGCTACAAGTGACTACCTATAACATGATGTGGCTCCACTAAAAGTGCAAAATTTGATAACAAGATGCCATACAAACTCATAAATTTTGTTAACATTCTGACTTGAGAAAAATAAAAAATAAAATTTTATCAATGGCTGTCTTAATCTGATATGTCAAGATGCTTGATCACAGCAATTGTTTAACGAGTGATATTTATGGCTCTGGTCCGGAATTAAAATCAAAATTAAACCCTGCCAATTGCTGGTTCCAAATAGTGACATAAAATACATAACATTTGATAGATTTTATTAATATTAAATAGGTGCAATTTATGCCTCTCATGCTTTCACATAGTTAAGTTCAATTCCTCCTGCTTGTTTGAAAAAAAAGCCAGTCCGACAAAATCTCCTGACATGAAACTCTGGCTGTTCACTCTACAACATGTGCAACAGCATGCACCTACCCAATGTCATAATGATTGGAACAAAATCCAAATGTAATCTGAGAGATGGGTTGTGTCACTTTCATGTGGACAGTGTGGGTTTGACCATGGGGTATCAATACTCCTCGCACTTCAGCTAAAACAGTAAAGAGAATTTAATGTAAATCAACTATTATTGTGGCAATTCACACTTCCAACAAGACAAAATTAAGTTGCGTACTACATGATCAGTTAGTTCCTAAGTTACGTTTCAGGACTAGATCACAAAGCTGTGTAATTGAGACACTGGGTATCAGGGCTCAAAAAAAGAAAAAAACTTGAATTCCAGTTTGCCCTTGGGACAACTAGCTCTCAAATTTTTCTGGTCCTGGGCAAATCTTTGTTTGCTCTTTTAATGCCTTGGATGGCAAGACAACTTGCCTGATGCGAATGAAAGCTACTTGCCAAGAAGAAAAATCTCCATGTACTTGTCCCGGACAACCGGACAGCACTTTTTTCAAGCCCTGGTATGAAATTTACTGACATGCAAAGAGCCACAACTGTAAATGAGCCATGAAAGTTACATTATGTAGTTTAATTTGATGAGGACAATGACGACCAGAATGGCGCTGGAGGTGGTGGCAGTCTAATATTACTATTTTCCTCTTTTCATTTTGTTTAGTTTTCCTATTTATATTGTGTCTGTAAATTAATTTTGAAAAAAATTTATTCTGTTGAACATACCACCATGTCTGTCATGATGTGCCATTCTTTGCTTGGCTTCTAGAGTTCCCTGAAAAAGTAATTATTAATACTGATTTCATACAATTTCATTATATAATTCTTTAATCAATTAAATACCTAGTATTTAATTACATAGAAATTTGTGAACATAATAGCACTATCATGTGAAGGCTTAGACACTGAAAGGAGGAGGGCAATCAATTTATATTAATTATGCTCTACTGGCTCTGTCAGGCCTCTCCACACTATGCCAAAGAAACTTGAAAATATTAAATGCAGCTTTGTCTCCATGTTTAGGCCCACGATCCACACTAACCTGGAGAAATTGTCTACCAAAAACACTCTGACTATGAACCGGAGGAATATGAAAATGCCGGCTTTGCTTTTTAACATGGACATAAAAACATTATGAAAACTGATTTTTTCTAAACCAATGATGCCGCAATGATAATCATGTCAATCCCAGGCTATCTGAGTTTTCCTCAAAAATCCGAAATCGACAGTCATTGTTGCAATTTCAAATAGATCTCACCAGCATGTTCATCCGAAGTCAACGATCACTGTAAGTTGTAATATCAAATCTCACCAGCATAGTCAGTCATGTATCCATGGATGAAAAACATTTGCCACATTTTGAATTCAGAGTGAAAATGCCATGCAAAATCAATATTAACCTTATGCACTGGGCTAACCCTGCCCCACTTAAAAAGGAATGTAGACTGTAAATTGACATCCATGATCAATACCTGGCACAAGATCAAAAATATCTGAGAAAACAGATCAATTAGAATGAAAATAACTTTGTACCTCTATGATCTTTCTTATCCGTGCAACATTCAGTGCTTGCTGCCAAGCAAACATGTTGACAGCCCACTTCGGAATCCAACCTTTAGGATCAGCTTGAATAACATAGATTACCTGGCAAAAGACAAATTAAAACAAAGAAGGAAAATGTTGACCACATGTGGTTTAAACACCAAAAATCTACACCTCTGGGCTGGTTCAACACCTGAAGTCCACGATTCATGAACTTCCCACAAAGTCTGACAAATCTAATTGGCTGAGAATACGAAACAAATACTGTGCGCATGCTCAGAAAACCAAGTCTGACCAGAGGTCACAATTCTTGGTGCTGACCAAAAGAAGCACGGCCTCAGGGGATGAGAATGCTAATGGCCCTTGTTGGTCTTGCTCTGGTGACTTGGTCAGACATATTATTATGATGATTAATCACTCCATCAGATCGTTATTTGTCTCAGTCAGAGCTCTACATGTCAATTATCAACATTATGTTTTAGTAATAATTATTGTGTTGTAATTAGTGTACTAGTATTATTTTCTATAGTGTCTGTCACATTGCATGTCAATGTAACCCAAAGCCATTAGTTAAAGTCCTTTTTTCTGTAAGTAACATACTGTAAGTTGGTTGTATATGTAATGTGTACATTGTAATGCATAGATACATACTCCGTAGGCTGTTTTTTGTAACTGTAGTGTAAGTTTGATTGTAATTGTTGTAATCGTTCCAGCAAATGAAAAAAAGCATTATGTAGGGCATAAATAAAATACCAGATTAAATTGTACATATCACATCAAAGAGCACCTCTTGAGATGCTCCTCTGGACTTTACTGGGAAGCTGTACCATTGCTGATAGTAACTTCACCAACAAAACATGAGACTTCAGAGATTAAATAATTACTGACAAATGTTTGTAGCTTATTAAATCATATGTCAATGTTCACCACATTACAAGTACATGTCTACAGGTATTTTTTTTGCATGCAGTCCACTCCGTCTGGATGAAGCCATAACACTGAGTCGCACCTTGAAAGCAGTATAATGTCTGATTGGTTAACATAACTGACTGGTTGAAATATTAGTCTCAAAATTAACTTTCTAAAATCAAAACCATTTAATGTCATACTGGTACTAACATCCATGTATCCTGGGTCATCAACACAATGCTTAAAAACATATCCAGTGTGCAATATTTCAGCTCTGATAAGTTTGTAATTCTCTAGAGTGGGACACTCTGGTCTGGTAATCGAAGATCCCTAATGGAAGACATATTAACTTGATAAATGTTGGTAGCCATAAAAATACATAAAAAAAAAGGACATCAATGTTAGTCTAGTAAAACTTGAAAGTATGCTAACTTAATCAAGTGCTAAATACTTTTACATGTAACTTTGCAAATGCTAAAAATGCAAGGTCAGTTTTTCTGTGTTAACTAGTTCCTGAAAGATTTAGCATCTCAAAGGCTTAAAAAAATCATTCTGAAAAAGAGGTCTGAAGTGCATGATTATATAAAAACTTAACACTAACTGAAGAAATAATTACAACTTAACTTACCACTCCAAATCCAACTTCATTGCCTGCTTCATCAGTGAATATGTCTCCATATTCCAGCCAACACACATCTCTTTCCCAAACAGGTCCCGGTGACCCCATTACAGCCCACTTTATGGAATAGAAGGGTACCTCAGGAACTTTATAGCCAGCAGGAAACTGATGAAGTACTAAACCGTCCTGAAAGTGAACATCTGGGGAACAAGCAAAATTATTGAGGTAGTGGTAGAGTTGCACAGTAGGTCCATTGCGAGGGATCAATAAAAATAATTAATAATTATGATTATAACAAATGACTCAACAGGTACTCTAAAGTTGGAGCCATTTAATGCCGAACAGTGATAAAATGGTAAAGAAAGATTAAATCTAGTAAATATATTTCCTTCCTCAAGTGTATTTGTATTAGGATTACAATGTACAAGGACAACAATTTCAAGCACTGACTAAAAGAGATTTTGTCGAAATGAAAACAAAGGAGACCTACTAACAACATTAATAAATGTAAACTTACGGGGGTATTAGTTTCCACACATCTGAGACTTCTGGAAAGTTGTTAAGTACACTTATATGTGACCAAATAAACAAATGCGGGCTTAGGAAAGATGTGGTTTGATTTGATAAAACTATACCTCAGAATAATCCTTAAATATTCTACATATGACTACTTAGTAGTATCAGTCTTAAGCTAGCTATAGACTGTTACAGACTGCAAGTTCCAGCCTTTTAAAGTAGTTTCATGTGTGCACTAACCTATCATGTGGAAGAGACGACGGAAACTTTCTGTAGTAGCCGCTATCATGAGTGCTCTTGCCTCCTCTTTAGATGATTTCACTCTAGCCTTGCCACGAATAAGATGAAGCTGGAGCAAGAAAATATTTCTCCATCATTAAACACTTTCTTCTTTTATCAAGATGGGGAGGGGTTCTGTACTTATAAGAAGTATTTTGTTCCTTTCCATAAATATCACAAAGACACAGCCTGACCTACACCAGGCACTTGAAGCCAACGACCATCTTTGACACATGATAAAATGAATTTAAAAAAGTTATGGCATTACAGTCAAAAGTGTACCCCTCAAGATTACATTAATTATTCGATTATTTGAAGAGTACAGTGAACCCGCTAGTCATTCCAAGAATACAGCTAACAGTTCAGTATTCAAATAATCAATTCATTAAATACTGCATTCTTGAAACAGCTAGCGGGTTCAATAATCAAATAATCAATTTATGATTGTATTCTTGAAACAACTAGAGGGTTCAATATTCAAATAATCAATTCATTATTGTATTCTTGAAACAACTAGCAGATTCAATATTCAAATAATCAATTCATTAAATGTAATTTTGAGGGGTCCACGCTTCACTTGGTTTGACTGTAAACAAGTACTGTTAAGTACCTGACTCCCAGGTCTTGTTCCTTGGTAAATATCAACATCACTCTTGGTGCAGACATACTGAAAACCCTGAAGCAGAAAACTGAATAAAATTAGATTTAATAAAAACTAGTACCTAATAATGCTAATTGTGATAAATAGTAAGAACAGAATGAAGCAATTAATCATAAACGTGTGAGAATTAAAGAGATAATTCTACATTAACATGGTCTACCGCTAATATTGTTGATTCCAAGAGGGTTGTTCCCTCTGAAAATGAATAGCCTCTTTTATCTTAAGTTGAAAACTGGCAGAGGGTTGATCCAAAACATGGAAACAATCTGCTCACTGAACACAAGGCGTGACAAAGTTCAGAATTTTGCAAAAGTTTGAAAATGTGAGAGGCCCTATCACTGGCTAAATGCTCTTTCCTCACAGTTATGGTAATGTGGTGAGAAATCAAATATTTTCGCTCGCACCTGATTTGTCTAAACCCATCAGGTAACTGAATAATTATTCAGTTACCTGATGGTAACCGAATAATTGTCCCACTAAAAAACTGGGGAATATCCAGGTGTTGTTCCCCAAACTGTTTTCAAAAGCGCCTTAGTGCTGTACCTGAAAAATATTTCAAAGATAATAAATACAATANGAGAAATCAAATATTTTCGCTCGCACCCGATTGATCTAAACCCATCAGGTAACTGAATAATTGTCCCACTAAAAAACTGGGGAATATCCAGGTGTTGTTCCCCAAACTGTTTTCAAAAGCCCCTTACTGCTGTATGTGAAAAATATTTCAAGGATAATGAATACAATAGCATCCAAAATTTGTTCTTGGTCCATATTATCAGTCTGTTCCTTGAAGCTCACAGTTTTCCTTGAGTTTTGCTCTTGAAAAACTAGTTGCTTCTCAGAACAGATGCAACTGTCCAAGGACTAAATATCTGGGCATGGTTTCACACCAAATGGAAGTTTTTTGTTTACGTACAATTTATGAAATATTCAAAATAATAATATTGATTACCTCATCAGAAGTGGATGCATCTAATAGTCCTTTGACCCATGACTGTGCTAGCTTGGTATAATGGTCTATTTCATCTTGTGTTAAAGGTGTTATTTCTCCAAAGAAATCATCAGGGACTGGATACTATGTAAAAAGAAATTAACCAAATTAATTTTGATAGTACAAAGAATATAATTAACAGTTATATATTCACCAGTAAGTAGAGGTGAATAGTGGTGGGCAATCACAGCTCAGTAAATATCCACTTTTATCAACACTGAGGTTGGGCTGTGCTCTAGAGGCACCCAAGTGCCACAAGCAACTAACATAAGCAGAGAAGAAAAGGGAGAAATTAAAAAATGATTTACAGTGTGTGAATGCAATTAGGTACATTTAAAGTGAAGTCTTCACAAGTTTAGTGGTCCTCATCTACACTTAGTGAAATTGATATACATGACATTTAGCTAACGCTTTTAAACATACTGTTAACTTTTTCCTTCCTTTCACATCTTCGTGCCCATGTTGTTTGAAAACTAGAGTTAAAGGATAATGATCTGAAGAAGACAAATAGTCCTTGATTCCGCTCAGGTTTAAACCAAAACTGGATTTACCATTCAGTGTGTGTAAGATACATCCAGCTAAAAAAAAAA